GTCTGGATGACATTAGGGCCTGGATGGCTTCAAATTTCTTAAGTTTTAACAATGAAAAGACCAAAGTCATTTTCTTTAGCCCTAGCTCAACTGCCACCACTGATCCTGTCAACCTGGACTCTCTTCAGCCATATCTGAAGCAGTCTGGTAAAAATCTCGGTATGGTTTTAGACTCTGACTTCAAGTTTGACAATCAAATCAACTCTGTTCTGCAGAAAAGCTCCTTCCAACTCAGACAGGTAGCTAAGCTCAAGCCAGTGTTGTCCAGACCCGACCTTGAGAAACTAGTTCATGCCTTTGTCACGACCCGATTGGCCTATTGCAATGCACTGTATGCTGGGATCAGCCAGGCCTCCATCTCACGTCTTCACGTTCTAGAATTGCGCTGCTCAAGGTGGCTGCATGTTGGAGCAGCTCTGTTATGTTCATTCTGAGATTTTGCTTTTGGAAACTTTAATTCCTCTTTTTCTGGATGTAAATCACATTTTCTGGATGATTGTTTCCTCTGGTATCAGATGCTGTGCAGCTGGAAGGATTTTTACTGAAACTTTTTTAGTTTTGGACATTTGTTATGATGCGTAACCATGGCAACAAGGCAGTTTTCTACAACCAACAGCAGCTGATTAACATCTCAAAAGCTCAAATAATATCTCAACTAAAGCCCCAAATCTCAAATGAGTTGAAAAGGATGTTCTGTGGAAGCATTCTCATCTACCTGCCAGCTGTGCTCGAGTGCCTGACCACTGAGATCCTGGAACTAGCAGGAAACACAGCTCATGACAGTGGAAGAACAGGAGCATCTCTTGGCACCTACTGTTGGCTGTCCGCAGCGACGAGGAGCTCGGCAGACTGCTGGGAGGAGTGGCCATCGCTCTGGGAGGAGTTCTGCCCGGCATTTGGGTGGTCCTACAGCCCGGGGGAACTGAGAGGCCAGCCGAGTCTGGGTGGACGGATTGGACGGCATCTGCAGCCAGTTTCTTAGGATCCACTGTGAGATGGACCTTTACAAGAGATCCTTCCTTTCTACAGTCATCAGCATCTATAACATCTCTTAATGAAACTAGGATAACGAGTTACAACAACAAATAATTTCCCTTTGGGATTAATAAAGTATTTTTGAATTGAATTGAATTGAATTCAGCTCGTCCAGAATGCTGCTGCTCTGCTTTTAACCGGAACACGTAGGTCTGAACATATTACACCAGTTCTGTCCTCCCTTCACTGGCTCCCTGTTCATGCGAGGATAGTTTTTAAAATTCTTCTGCTGACCTTCAAATGCCTAAATGGCCTTGCACCCCTTTACCTCTCTGAGCTTCTGGAACCTTACGATCCCTCTCGGGCCCTCAGATCATCTGATCAGCTGTTTTTGGCTGTTCCAAAAACAAGACTGAAGATCAGAGGAGGTCGGGCTTTTTCAGTCATGAGCCCCAAACTCTGGAACAACCTGCCCCCCAACATCAGGCAGGCCACCTCCCTTCCTCACTTCAAATCTCTGCTAAAAACACATCTGTTCTCTCAGGCATTTCATACAGTGTAAATTGATTTAGTCTTTTTTAATCTGTGACCCTATGTTTTAAATGCTTTTTATTAATTCTTCAGTTATTATCATTATTAGTGTATTGTATATATATGTTTATATATTTTTCTCTTTAATTTACTCATTGATTGATTGATTGATTGATTGATTGATTGATTGATTGATTGGTTGGTTGTTGTTGTTGTTGTTGTTGTTGTTGTTGTTGTTGTTGTTGTTGTTGTTGTTGTTGTTGTTGTTGTTGTTGTTGTTGTTGTTGTTGTTGTTAAGCACTTTGATAACAGGCTCTGTTTTAAATGTGCTCTATAAATAAAGTTGACTTGACTTGTTTGCCGCTAAGGACCTCTGACTGTTTGCTCAACAGCAGCTAATCTGCTCTTCATATCTGCCATGTTTATTTGTGCTAAACGTCTCCGCCCACCTCCTGCAGGAGCAGGAGGGGGGAGCAGCTGAGGGGCTGGGTTTGTGTTCAGTAGCTATGTTTACATGCGCAGAATTCTTTGACCGGATTGAAATGTGTTCTGTTTGAATAATTCAAATGTATTGTTTACATGGGCACAATCTGTTCATGACGAGCGTTTACCTGCAGCGGGCTTTGTTCTGAACAGCAGTACTGACATGCGCAGAGTGGTAAACTCTCCTTCAAAAAACCACAGAAGAAGAAGTTCTACTTCCGGGTGAATGTAAACAAACCTGAGCACCCAAAATGGACCCGCGACAGGTTTTAATGACGGTGGAGACGTTACTGCACTCCCTGACTGAGCTACAGGTGATACAGATCATTTTGAGCTCTTTCAAAGTTTCTAGTAGAAATGTTGTATCTCTCACCGACCAGTTTTGCTTCCCTGACATGCTAATATTATTAGCATTAGCCAGGCGGAAATGGCAAAGTCGCACATGTGCAGTCAGGTCAGTTTTTCACGATGAGATAAAAACGAACAGATCAAGCGTTTACATGCGCACCGATCGGGTTACGGATCATTGTAAACCACCCGTTTCGTTCTGATCACAAATTATATCGATCGCGCCAAATACACAAAAAAATAACCCGAACGGAGTGTTTACATGACACACTTTTATTCCGACCGGCCATTTGATCCGGTTACTTATGTCCATGTAAACATACTGAGTGAGGGAGAAGGAGGTGGGCGAGTGGAAGAAAGAAGGCAGCTGGAGGATTTTCAAGTATAAAATTATATCGTTTTTATGGAGATAGTCTCAATTTATATAGCCAAAAAAACAAAAAAAATTGAGCCGGCTTGCCTTAGTGTTGCCGTATTCTGACACATGCGCAAAACGCTGTGTTCCGTCGAAAGTTTTTTTTTTCCTCGAAAGTTAAAGTAAGCGTTGGTCAGCTTTAGAGAAACCTGCTCTCTGATCTGTGAAAAGAACGCTGTGTTGTGTGATTTTACTGCGAGACCCTCTGGTCAAAGCCACAGACTCATTTTGTGTCAGCTCTCCTTAAAGCAGGAGGAGGCGCCCACTAGAGGTTTGGAGGGTGAAGTGTTTCAGTGTTCACTTGCTGCTCTGTTGCTGTTCATTTATTAAGTAAGATTGGAAACTGTTAAGAGTTAACAACATATATTCTTTTTTTTAAAACATATGGCTAAAACTACATTTGATATGTTTTGCACTGCTTTGCACTACAAGAAAGAAGCCCAATACTTGATTTGTTTATTATTTAAAAACTCTCTGGACCTAGTAGTGACATTTTCTTAATTCAAAATATATGATGGCAAAAGGACACCCTATGCTTTTTTAAATTCCTATTGCAAGCTTTATACCAAAAACATATTGCGATATATATTATTATCGCCACCCTTCACAATACATATTGTGATATGAATTTTATGCCATATCGCACATCTGATGACACCATGACTGAAAATGTGAGAAATGAAGAAATTTGTCACAAGAGAATTAAAATCAGGTCCAACGTGGCTGCTGGAGGGTCTAGAGATTTCCTGGTGGGCTAATATAATGTGTGGGCTGCAGGACCAGTGCTCCCTGTTTTTTTTTTGTTTTTTTTAGAACTTTTTATTAACAACATATAAACACAGAACACTGCTGTGGCTGGAGCTGCCAGTTCTGTTTTTTTTTTTTTGGTGACCTGTCGATCAATCCAGTAGACTTGTCAGCAAATGACCAATCAGCGACCTCAATTTGTCCCGAAGGTAAACGCCCCTTGTCTGCAGAGCTGGTCTGCAGCCGCTCAGGGTGGACGCTTAGTATGAAGTCTCAACCCTCTGTGGACAGTGCGCACAGTTTCCGTGCGGTTGACAGGATGCGCAAATATTCTGGAGCCTTAACTGTTGATCAGTCCTGCTCACCAGCTTGGAGGAGTTCGAGCCCCTTCCTCCATGCAGAACAGCTTCAGCTCTGGATGTTAGTGGTTTTCTCACATTAATTGTTCACTTCAGGTTCTTCCACATCTGGATTGGATGAAGGTCAGGACTTTGACTTGGCCATTCCAAAACAGGAACTTTATACTTCTTGAACTATTCTTTGGTAGAACCACTTGTATGCTTAGGATCATTGTCTTGCTACATGACCCACCTTCTCTGCTTTTAGTTTTCTCTTACTAATGTTTTATTTATTTGTTATTACTGTATTTTCTGCCGTACTAGTCGCTCTACCCTATAAGTCGCATTAGTCCATATTTGTCTCATAAAGTGGAAAAATCCATAAATATGTTGCTTTGTCATATATGTTGCATCTATTATGCGTCACCACTGACGCGTCACGTTTGTTACACGTCACCGCTGACAACCCGGAAATGTGGGCCGAACCCGGAAATGTGGGCCGGTGTTGTGTCAAAAATTGATGGCTGTCAAATGGCGGCCGCGGGAGCGTGCACGGGAGGACTTTTAACAAGAATTTATCAAGATTAACACGTTAAAACATTATTTGTTTGCTCCAAATTATAGAAAATGTGTGTCTCAGTCTAACGTTTGCTTAATAAATGCACTTTGACCGTCAAATCAGCTGCATTTCAAAAGCCAACACACGGAAGTAATCGCGTGCACGTGATGAGTTGCTGTACAAATTTAACAAGATAAACGCCTAAAAACAATTATTTGTTTGCTCGAAATTATAGCAAAGGTGTGTCTCAATCTAACGTTTGCTTAATAAATGCACTTTAATGGTCAAATCAGCTGCATTTCAATGCAAGAGTTGGGGGTTCGAATCCACTAGCAGTCATACGCCGAAGTGTCCCTGGGCAAGACACTGAACCCATCATAGCCTCTGGTGTGTGTCCCATCGGTGTATGAATGTGATAAATCACTGATTTGGGTCTTTAGATTGATTTGTTGAATTAGCTTTGTAGATCTAGTATAGAGCTGTATGAATGGGTCAATGAGGCACAGATTGTTGTAAAGAGCTTTAAGTATCTTGATAAGATAGAAAGGTGCTATATAAGTACAGTCCATATTAACTGCTCATTTCTTTCACATTGTGGTTGCAGATGATGTGTGAGGTGATGCCCACCATCAGCGAGGCTGAAGGTGGGGGGAACGGCAGCGGGCGGCGTGGTTCGGGTTCCCCCTTGCAGTCAGACTCTGAGGGACACTTTGAGTCGTTGATGGTGTCTATGTTGGAGGAGAGGGATCGTCTTCTTGACACTCTGAGAGAAACTCAGGAGAATCTGGGCCTGACTCAGGGCAAACTGCATGAAGTGAGCCATGAGAGGGATTCCCTGCAGCGCCAGTTGAACACTGCTTTACCACAGGTGAGTTGCATGTGCTTTACATTATTATTTAAAACAAGAGAAAGAGAGATGAATAAATCCAGTGATGCATGTGAAACTGGAGTTGGGCTATTTGCTATTGTGGTGATTGGCCACCATTAGTCCAACAACAGACAGCTGGCAATCTAAATTAATGGCAGCTATAAGCAAGATCCTTTGAAATCTTTTATGCGTTTCAGGTTTTTTTTTCTTGAATTTTATATTTAACGGCTTTACCTTTTTTCTTTCTATTCTTTTCCAATTTTGTAAGAAATTTATTACAAACCGGATTCCAAAAAAGTTGGGACACTAAACAAATTGTGAATAAAACCTGAATGCAATGATGTGGAGGTGCCAACATCTAATATTTTATTCAGAATAGAACACAAATCACAGATCAGAAGTTTAAACTGAGTGAATGTATCATTTTAAGGGAAAAATCTGTTGTTTCCAAATTTCATGGCATCAACAAATCCCAAAAAAGTTGGGACAAGTCCATTTTTACCACTTCTACTTACAACATTCAACAGACGTCTGGGGACAGAGGAGACCAGTTTCTCAAGTTTAGAAATAGGAATGCTCTCCCATTCATGTCTAATACAGGCCTCTAACTGTTCAATCGTCTTGGGCCTTCTTTGTTGCACCTTCCTCTTTATGATGCGCCAAATGTTCTCTATAGATGAAAGATCTGGACTGCAGGCTGGCCATTTCAGTACCCGGATCCTTCTCCTACGTAGCCATGATGTTGTGATTGCTGCAGAATGTGGTCTGGCATTATCGTGTTGAAAAATGCAGGGTCTTCCCTGAAAGAGATGACGTCTAGATGGGAGCATATGTTGTTCTAGAACCTGAACATAGTTCTCTGCATTAATGGTGCCTTTCCAGACATGCAAGCTGCCCATGCCACAAGCGCTCATGCAACCCCATACCATCAGTGATGCAGGCTTCTGAGCGGAGCGTTGATAACAACTTGGGCTATCCTTGTCCTCTCTGGTCCGGATGACATGGTGTCCCAGTGTTCCATAAAGAACTTCAAATCGTGACTCATCTGACCACAGAACAGTCTTCCATTTTGCCACACTCCATTTTAAATGACCCCTGGCCCAGTGCAAACGTTTGAGCTTGTAGAGCTTGCTTAGAAATGGCTTCCTCTTTGCACTGTAGAGTTTCAGCTGGCAACGACGGATGGCACGGTGGATTGTGTTCACTGACGATGCTTTCTGGAAGTATTCCTGAGCCCATTCTGTTATTTCCTTGACAGTGGCATTCCTGTTTGAGGTGCAGTGACGTTTAAGGGCCCGGAGATCATGAGCATCCAGTAGAGTTTTACGACCTTGACCCTTACACACAGCGAATGTTCCAGATTCTCTGAATCTTTTGATGATGTTATGCACGGTTGATGATGATAACTTAAAAGTCTTTGCTATTTTACGCTGGGTAACACCATTCTGGTATTGCTGCACTATCTTTCTGTGCAACAATGGTGGAATTGTTGATCCTCTTACCATCTTGGCTTCTGATAGACACTGACACTCTGAGAAGCTCTTTTTATACCCAATCATGTTGTCAATTGACCTAATTAGTGGTAATTGGTCTTCCAGCTGTTCGTTATATGCTCAATTTCCTTTTTCCAGCCACTTATTGCTACTTGTCCCAACTTTTTTGGGATTTGTTGACACTCTGAAATTTTGAATCAACATATTTTTCCTTTAAAATGTTACATTTACTCAGATTAAACTTTTGATCTGTCGTCTGTTATATTACGAATAAAATATTGACATTTGCCATCTCCACATCATTCCATTCAGTTTTTATTCACAATTTGTTTAGTGTCCCAACTTTTTTGGAATCTGGTTTGTACACCTATCCGTGTAGATTTTAATATAATTCATAGCACAGTCAGTGAGTGAGTTAATGTCCTGCCCATGTGCATCACAGAAGACATCCCAGTCAGTTGTATCAAAGCAGTCTTGCAGGGCCTCCATAGCTTCCTGTGACCACCTGCGTACAGTTCTCAGTCACTAGTTTCCGCTGGACTGCAGGGATGTATTGGGGCTTGAGGTAGACTAGATTGTGGTCTGATTCGCCGGGGGGGGGAGGGGGTAGAGCTATGGCACTGTATGTTTCTTTCACATTAGCATACAGCAGATCCAATGCTTTATTTTCTCTAATTTTACAGTCAACAAACTGTTTGAATTTGGGCAAGGATGAGTTCATTGTGACATGATTAAAATCACCAGAAAAAGCCATGAAGGCATCAGGGTGCAGAGACTGTAGTCTTGCAGTGATTGATATGATGATGTCATCAGCCCGCAACACTTCAGCAGTTGGAGGAATGTAAACACAGACAATTATGACGTGTGGAAACTCACATGGGAGATAATATGGTCTGAGACCGATTGCTATCGGTTCAGTGTCCGGGCTGCAGACACGCTCCTTCACTGTGATGTGTTGGGGGTTGCACCATTTCTTGTTAATGTAAATTGCACCAATGAAGCCTCCTGAAATGCAGGCTGACTCCTCATGAGTGCCGTTAGTTCGTCCGTCTTATTTACTAGCGAGCAGACGTTCCCCATGATAATGGATAGAAGGTAGGGTTTATACTTCCTCTTATCCAGATGTCATCTTTTTCCTGCTCTGCATCCCCAATATTTCCTTCTAAGTTCTTGGGGAATTTCACGTTTTTGTCCAAAAACTCTGCTGTGTTGCAGACCGATCAGCTGTTCCCTGGTGTAAACAATTGCGCCCCGCGTGCCTCCAGAAGGGTGGTGGGTCGCCATGATAAAAGTAAAGTACTCCAAATACGATTAAAAACAGGATAAAAGTACCTAAAAGAGTCGCATACTTGCACTTTCCACTGAAACCACATTATACAGTGCAAGCACAGTTTTGAAAAGGGTAAATTTACATAAACAAGAACGGCAGAATCTCTGGCAGGCAGCCGCTCTCAGCAGTGCACATTTATTTTCCCCATACATACAAGCGGGGTGCCTCGCAGCATCAACAGAACCGAGCTCACAGTCCACTGAACCAAACTGTGCGCACCCCTGCTCCACCCGCCTGCACTGACGTAGCTCCAAGATAGCAGCACGCTAACTAAAAAGCTAAAGGCAACGTCTTCCCTCACACTGAACCCTCACGCTGACCGGATCGAAAAGTGTCGGCACAAACGTGGCTCAGATGTTTACGTTCGTGCCTTCACCTTTCCGATTTGAATATCGTTGCATGACCCACGTGAGCGAAATCCGCTGACCGCTGCGTGGTGGGATGACGCATTTACGTCATGAAATTAGCATATCATGATATAATTTATTTTCTCGGTCAAGTTTTTTTTTTACCAATATTATCGTGAACGATATGATATGGCCCAGCCCTAGTACCTGGTTTAAGGACCATGGTATCCCTGTTCTTCTTTGGCCAGCAAACTCACCTGACCGTAACTCTATAGAAAATCTATGAGTTATTGTGAAGAGGAAGATGTGATTCACCAGATCCAACAATTCAGAAGAGCTGAAGGCCACGATCAGAACAACCTGGGCTCTCAGAACCTGAGCAGTGACACAGACTGATCCACTCCATGCCACGACGCACTGCTGCAGTGATCCAGACTAAAGGAGCAACAACTAAGTATTGATGCTGAACATGTTCATACTTTAAAGTTGACCAACATTTTTAAAAATCCTTTTTTTATTGGTCTTAAGTAATAATCTAATTTTCTGAGATACTGAATTTGTGGTTTTCATTAGTTGTCAGTTATAATCATCAACATTAAAAGAAATAATAATTTGAAATACATCAGTCTCTGTGTAATGAATGACTATAGTAGACAAGTTTCACTTTTTGAATGGAATTACTGAAATAAATCGTTTTTTTCATGATGTTCTAATTTTATGACCAGCACCTGTATATAAATACCTGTAAACTGAACTGCACCAGTTCTGTCAGGAGGGATGGGACAATATTCCAACAAAGTATTGTGAGATGCTTGTTGAACAGTACCCAAGATATTCAGTATACCCAGAGTCATTCAGTTTAACGGCAATGTTACTAAGTACTTTGAAAATGTATGTGAACTTGTGATTTAGAAAAAAACAATTAAAAAAATTCTCTCTTTATGGACCTTTATTTCCTTACTATCTAACTTCCCTCCCTCCCTCCTAAGTTTCCTTCCTTCCTTCCTTCCTGTCTGTCTTTCTGTGTAGATATTTTTAATTTTATTACAAATATTGCTGTGTATAGCTTGTTTATATTTTGTTGTTGCTGTTCACATATTTACCACACATTAGCGAATTGAACTTTCAAACTTTGTCATTGTTTACTTTAACATGGTTGTTCATGGTAGAAAATACTGAGTTTTTGAAGCTCACGCTGAACTTACACTTCTTCCCTGGAATGTAGGAAGTAAGCATCTCTGTAATTAACCCCGGGCCTTGATTTCAGAACCTCCCATTGCCTGCTTGTAAGTGGATGACTTTGTTGTTGTCAATAGCAAAATCTCTCTTATTCCTTTAGTGTTGCAATTCTTTTCGCCAGGAGCTGGAAGAGCTCAGAGGCTAAAGAAGTGGAAAGGGAGAATAGCTGAGGTGGTGACTGAAAAGAGTGATTGGTTCCAGCAGCCCCCCCCCCCCCCCCCTCACCCTGCTACTGTAGGAATCACTGCAAAAAGATATTTCTCCATTCATTGCTCCTGTGCTACAGGGCAAAAAATTAGGATGGCACATTCTTTAGAGGTCCAACCAGGCATGCAATCCCTATCAGCAGTGTGTGTGTGTGCGTGCGTGTGCGTGTGTGTGTGTGTGTGCGTGTGTACAATTTCATTGCTTCACTTAATAGAATCCAAGAAAGATGTGAAGGTAATGAAAGTTATATAGAGCCTTATGAAATCAGTTTATTTTTGCCAAATTGCTTTTTCCGTGTGGGGGGGGGGGTGTGTGTTGGACTTTGCCCTAAGATTTGAAAAGTCCAGCTGATGGTGTTATGGAGAATACCCTGAAGGAGAAATA